ATATTTGCTTTTTAAAATTTTATAGACATTTCATTTCCCTAGGGGTCATAACATGTTGAGAGATGTACAATTCTCTGCTACATTTCAAGGTCATTGTCAAAGCTCTGTCAATCATGCATAAAGTGTAATCTGAATATTTTAAAGCTGATTGTGTGTGACATCATAATTACAAATGAATGATGCTTTGATTGTGTGCATACTTGTATGTCAGATCTTCAATGAATTTTCAGCAACAGACATTTTGTAAATGCTCCACCTGGTGTTCCTATGTATAAGGTTAAAAAAAAAAAAGGCAGTGTAGAAAATATATCAGCTTATGACACCTGCACGTTCTGACACATGACAGATTCATGCTGCTGGAGGATTAACTGCACTGTCGCCACACATAGGAATCAGTTTAACGACACTGATAGAATGCATTCATGGCGCTCTCCCCATGTGTTCAGAAGAGTGAGAGAATCAGGACAAGGACGAGTAGGAGACGCAAAAGAATAGATGTATGGGCTCACAGGCATTTACACCAGCAGGCTGATGAGTGAAATCAATAACCACTTCTGAAGCAGTTCTGTCTCAACAAATTTACTCACAAACTAGGATAGTAATTATCACCCACAGCACACCCTAAATCAACAGTGTGACTCATAGAAACACAAGAGAAGTACAAAATATTGTCATTCTGGAGATTGCTTGAACCAAGGCACTGCCGTTTGACGTTTTTACACGTCACATAATTATTTTGGGACGTGGATAAACTTTACAAATCAACAAATGCTGTCATATGAAACCATACCATTGTCTCTAATACAGTATGAAATGAAATAGCCTGGAAAAACGAAAGCCTACAACAATGTTGAGTAGTCACATTAATGTCAGAGGTCACTCTGGAAAATCATTTTGTAAAGAACTGTCCAAGCCTGCACAGCGCAGGAACAAAAAGCTCCAGACAGAGGATGACTGACATTATATCCCATCACAAGCTTAATTTTGAAAAATGAAAAGTGTCACAGTAATGGCAAGAGATGTTTTTTGGTTTGTTATTCACTTGACATTTTATCTATTTGGACAACATAGTGGTCCCTCTGACAATCCGTTGGCACTTTCTTGGAAAGTAGATACAAGCTATTTTCTCGCTCCTTGGAGCTGTCAAAGTAAGCCAGACAATGTAACACTTTATATTACGTGGGCTTAAAATCCTGTCATCCCTCATTCTGTTCCATTGATTTCATCCAGTGATCCTCTGTCTGTGGGATTCATTCAGAGAGCTCTCCACATTTACAAAACTCATAAAAGCACAATGAAGGAAAAGGCGGGGGGAGTGGAAAAAAAATCATGGTTGCTTTTTCGTTTTTCAGAGGCAAGAAAAAGAAGGTGCAAACACTGTTACATACGTCTAAATATAAATGTCAGATCTTCAGAGTTACAGTTATGAAAAATGCAATCGACTTTAACTATTAAGAGTAATTGTTCTCGTGTAGGATTCAAATAAATAATTCAAACATTCTCAGTGTAGTTTGGAAAGAATCCCTCAGCTAAGGACTCCAACAAAAGCTAATTGTATTTAAGAGTTAGCCAACTTCATTGGAATCAGATTTTGACAAATAATAATAACTCAAATATCATGAGTTGACTATTCACAGAAAGCATCTGCTAATGTGACCTGTGCCGTATACAAAGAGAGATTTCAGAATTACAGGCAAGAGTTGCACTTAATTGGCATAAAACTGCAAAGGCTTACGAACTAATTCCAAAGAGTTAAAATATTAATGAATCCACAGTTTAAAAAACTCTTTACAACATGATTTAGTTTAGTGTTAACTAACTCTGTAGGCGTCCAGCTAAGATGACTCCAAAGGCACACAGCAGAATGATCAGTGAGGTAAAAAAGAGTAAAGCAGTAAAAAGCTTAAGCTGGATAACGTCACTGTTCATGAGTCATACACAAACAAGTCTCAAAGACAAATCATGGTTGCATGGAGCACAGTGTCCACAGCAGGAGAGCACAGAGGAAGCCACCGCTCTCCAAGTTTCTCTACAATGGTACTGAGAGAATATTTTGTGGACTGATGAAACTAAAGTTGCTTCTAGACATGCACTGAATTCTGGACATGTTCCTGAAATTGTCTGGAGGAGCTGTATAAGAGAACGCAGATGCCCAAGTCAGTTGATCTGAACATTCTCTGAAGTTTCTCCTGCCTACTCCCTGGAAAAATATCCGTAAAATGTCCAAGTGAGCCCATGTGGGAAAATGACTGGAAGATTCCCAAAGATTAAGTGGGTGTGTTAATGATGCTGCTAACAACAAAAGAATACAAATATCTTGAAAAAGAGGAGTCACTTATGTGGAGGACATTAACAAAGATGTCAACTTGGAAATTAGGGCAGACGCCTATGTCAGTGTGAGGAAAACATC